AAAGGTGATTGGAAAACTTGAAGTACATACAAATAAACATTAGAGTAAAAGAAAAGAAAAAAGTTACTCTTAAACCAACATTCCTGGTCCATGTGTGAATGTTATGTATGGATATTACATATGTATTAACCTTTTTCTCTTAACTTTTTTTTTTTTGTCTTTTTGAGGCAGGGTCTCGCTATGCAGTTCAGGCTGCCTGGAGCTCACTTTGTAGCCCAGGCTGGTCTTGAACTTGCAATGGTCCTCTTGCCTCAGCCTCCCAAGTGCTGGGATTATAGGCGTGTACCACCATGTCCAGTTCACTTAACACTGTACTGTGAGTATTGTCCTATGTTTATGGATTTCTTTTTTATTCAAATGATATGTTGTGGTATGAATTAAGCTGCATAACAGTCTGACTTGCTGATATGCTATAAATTAGAAAATCTACTACTGTTTGACACTTGACAGTTCATGTTTTCTTTTACAATTCTAATTTCCCCAATTGTTTTCTGCTTGTTTGTTTTGTTTTGGTTTTTGTCTTTTTTGGTACCAGGTATCAAACTTATAACTTCGCACTTGTGAGACAGGTGCTTAAACTGCTGAGCCAAATCCCTAGCCCTGCTTTTTGTCTTTTTGAGGCAGGTTCTTTTTTTTAAAAAGTTTTTTTTTTTTTTTTTTTTTTTCTTTTTCCTTTTTATCGGTACCAGGGATCGAACTCACGACTGCCTGCTTGCAAGGCAGGCGCTTATGCCGCAGAGCTAAACTCCCAGCCCCTTGAGGCAGGTTCTTACCATACAGTTCAGGCTGGCCTTGAGCTCACTTTGTAGCCCAGGTTGGCCTCGAACTCACAATGATCCTCTTGCCTCAGCCTCCCAAGTGCTGGAATTACAGGAGTACGCCACCATGCCTGGCTAATTTCCCCAATTGTTTTCTTCCACTGAGAAGGCTTCATGCACTTCCATCAATGTGATTAATAGGTCAATATATATGGATAGATGTATAAATATTACCAGTTGTTTGTCCTATTGGTTCCAAGCAATTTTCTGAGCTTTCAGCATTGGAAGCCCAATTTATGCATATGTATGTGCATGTATGTGATGGCTCAGATCTAAAATGTCTCTCCAGGGGCTGGGGATTTAGCTCAGTGGCATAAGCGCCTGCCGTGCAAGCAGGCAGTTGTGAGTTTGATCCCCGGTACTGATAGAAAAGAAAAAGACAAATAAAATAAAATAAAATAAAATGTCTCTCCAGAGTATCATGTATTCAGAGGTGGGGCTTTTGAAAGGTTTTTGGATCATGCAGGTGCTGTATTCGTCAGTCGATTGATCCCACTGATGCCTTCTTATGTAATGAGATGATTGGGTCATGTTGGGAGCAGTGGATCACTGGAGGCATGAACTCAAAGGGTGTATTCCTGTTCCTGACTCCTCTCTTTTGTGCTCCCTGGCTGTCATGAATTGAGCAGCTTTCCTAATGCTGTTTCTGCCTTACAGTCAGCCAACTGTGCATGCTAGAACTCTCCAAAGCCATGAGTCAAGTAAAACTCTCCTTTTTAAGCTGCAGGTGTCAGGCATTTTGTCTTGGTGATGGAAAAGTAAGTGATACAAAAAATTGGTACTAGGAGTGGGGTTATGACTGTGACTGTACCTGACTGCCTCAGAAGCCTTTGGGACTGGTCTGCAGTAGGAGTTTGGGAAGGTTTGGAGATAGATGCGAGTAGAAAAGTCTTAGATGCTGAACACAGAGCTCAATAAGCAGCATTTGTTGAGTTGAAAAGATGCTGACAGGAAGGTGGACAGCCAAGGCCAGCCTGGGGAAGTTTCCAAGAGGAACATAAGTGCTATTAGAAAGTGTGCTAAAGGCCATGAATGCTACATTCTGGCAAAAATTTATATTTCCCCGATGTCCAAATAGTTTCTATGAAGCTAAATTTTGGGGTGGCATACTAATTAATTTGGTGGAGGAAGTGTCAAGGCAGCCCAGTGTTCAGGCTGTGGCCTGTGTGCTGCAGGCAGCTGTTAGCCAGATTTACAGTGAGAATCAGGAGCAAAAAGCAGAGCTGAATCATTTAAAAACTTTGCAGCTTGGGTGGCAAGGAAATGCTTGTAAACTTGGGGTAGGGAGAATATGGTTGCTACAAAGATTAGAGTCATGAAAAACAAATACTTTTTACTAGGACAGTTTAAAAGATGCCTTATAGGCATCACAGGAATTAGCCAGACCTCACCCATCACTGGTGAAGGCAGAAAAGAAAGAGTAAACTTCCTTTAAAAAAGAGCCCTAGGACACTTTGTTCATTCAGGATCACCTAGAGAAGCGTTTCTCTGTGTTCAGCCAGGAAGGCACTCCAGAGGTCTCTGCATCCATGGCCCAAGAGATTCTAACCACTACTTGCATTGGCAGCCAATCTTGATACAATCCACACCATGCAGGTTTTAGGGGCATATAAAATGTAAGGGTTATAGGTCATGGAGGCATCTACCCAGATTTCAAAGAAAGGCCCGGGAGGCTGGGAGACCGGCCCCTGGGAGGGTGCTACACAGAGCTGGAGAAATGAAGACCAAGCAGCAATGGAGACCTGAAGAAGTGGGTATGTCAGGAAGCTAGAGCAGCAGAAGAATCCACAGGACCTGAACAGAGCCAGCCCAGGAGAGAGGCCACGTGGACTGCAGCCAGCAAGGCTGCCTAAGCCATGTGAAACTCACCTCTCACCACAAGCTGCCTAGGGGCGGGACATGGAGCCACAGGATTTAATGTTTGCCCTGCTGGATTTTGGTTTTGCTTTGGTTCAATTCCTATTTCCCTATTCCTCCCAGTTGGAATATGAGTACTTACCCTGTACCATGGCATGTAGAATGGTGTGTTATACACGTTTAACTTTCTTCTTGATTTTCCACAGAAGTCCACAGCTAAGAGTTTGCTTAGGTCTGAGATGAGTCTTTGGTCTTAGCCTTTTCAATGGTGCTAGAACAATTAAGACTTTGAAGACTCTTGGAGAGGGACAGAAAACTTTTTGAGGCTGGGACAGAATGCTGTGGTTTGGATTTAAAACACTGCCCAGTGTCTCATGTGTTCAGAAGCAGGGCTTTTGAAAGGTTATTGGCTCATGCAAGTGCTATGCTCCTCAGTGGATTAATCCAGCTGATGAGTTCTTGTGCTGTTAGGAGATGGGTCACTGGTGGAGTGAACCGAAAGAGTGTATTTTTGCTCCTGACTCCTTCCTTTTCTGCTTCCTGGCTGCTACTGATGAGCAGTTTTCCTCTATCATGCCCTCCACCATGCCATTTTTGCCTTGGAGCCAACCACAGACTAAACCCTCTGAAACTGTGAGCCAAATAAATCTCTCCTTCCTGAGTTACAGATGTTGTTTATTTTGTTCCAGTGATGGAAAACTGAGGTGTGTGTGTGTGTGTGTCTGTGCGCATCTATTGTAAATAAATATAAAAATATTCTAAAATAAGAAATAGGACTTGGTCATGGCTATAGCTTAGGGGCAGAGCACTTGCCTAGCAAATGGGAATCCCTGAGTTTGATCCCCAGTCCTACACAATAGAGGGCACTTTTATCAACTGATGGAATGATACATGTCTCATCTCCCATAATCTGGGCTGGTGCTTGAATCTAGAACCTTGAGCATACTAGGTTCTAATGAGTTACACCTTCAGCCCTTCAGCATGACTTCTTTTCAAATTTTCAATCTATGTATGTAGGTTTGCATATAAGAGGCATTTTGTAGAGATTTACTGAATGAATGTTTAATAGCTGGATCAGTGGATGATAACTAAAACATTTTTACTAATTAGCATGCAGAAAGTTACTGGCAAAATTAAAACGATATTCTGACTTGCAGTCTAGAGCTTTTTCTTTTATCATAACTCCAGTTTTACTTCATTCAGCCAATATTTACTGTCTATTTAGTCTGCACAGCACAGCGCTAGATGCCGGGGTACCACTATTGAGGAAAGTATGGTTCTACCTGTAAGGTTCCAAGTGGACCTGACCCTTCAGCCCCCAACCTGTCTGCTAGCAGAGACATTATTCTCAGCAAGGAACTCAGCTCAGCACTGAGGCTGTCATCCACAGACACAAACAGACGCAGGATAAGATAGGACAAGGCATCTTTCAGGTTCTGGGACATCTACGGACATCTGGAGCCACCCAAAAATTTATATCAGACACTTCAAGAACACTGCTCACTGAGGTGCAAGACTGCCAGAGAACTTTGACCACAGATGTTTATTAAAATCTTTCAGACTGATATGCGTTGTCTTTATTCAACCCCTAGAAAAGGGGGCCACTCTTTGCTCCCTGCAAATGATTTTTTCACCTTCTGTCTGCCTGCACCCAGGCACCATAAATTCCACTTTCTGTGGCCTTTACACAAGCCTGGTGGTCTCTGCCCTTTATACATTCATTACACTACCCAGGAAGGACCTCACAGTGTGCCTGAGAAACTCACATACTTCTTTTGATGGAAGTCTCATTTATAAAATGAAAATACTGACCTCAGAAATCCTTTCTAGTTCTTGGAATCTGTGATCTTGTAAAACCCTGAATCTTAGCCATATGAAGTCTGGAAAAAGTTTGTTATAAAGTAGCCTGTGATTCAGAATGAAGGCAGGAAATGTTTTCTCTCTGTTTATATCCTTTTCATCTTCATTCACTCCTTTATTCATTCATCATTCCTTAAGCATAAATTGGACGTCAGATACTATGAAGTTCAGAGAATAAAAACAAAAATAAATCTTTTCTCACAAAAAAATCTGAAGTTTTCAAGAGGACTATTGCATGTAAACTTCGTGTGAATGTGATGCACTGGGCTAGTATTCTAGCTAAAATGGTGGTGCCCAGTATTAAAGAACAGGGAGGAATCAGCTAATATTGACTTGCACATGCCCTATAAATGCTCCAGAAGTTAGGGGGAAGGTCCCTGAATTCTGAAGCTTTATCACAGGAGAGATACTTTTGTCATACTTGCCAACATCAGGAGGAAAGAGGAGGAATGCACGGGAACTTACCATTTCTCCTCTTCTACTTGGACTCCCACAGACTGGAACTTACTGGGTGCTTTATTCTCTCCCATTTTCTCAGGTTCTTCAGCATCATCTACCTGAAGAAACCATCAAATAAACATTCCACTTAGTCACCTCACTTGGAAAAGAGTCATTTCATCAGAAACATTGGTAGTGTTCTGGAATGCTTTGTAACTTGTAACGTCTTTGTTCAGTATTTGTGTATTTGATGAGAGCCATCACCATTTTATCAGCATGTTCTTTGACTCTGGTGATCTAAATGCAATTTTATGTGCTCTCAAGCTGGCAGATAAATGTCTATGATTCCTTCATAGATCTCCAAGTATAGTGTTCTCTCAGGACCCACAGGGCATTGTTTCTGGGGCCACTCTGGATACCCAAGTCCATAAATACTTGTGTTTCTTATATAAATGGCACAATATTTGCATATAAGCTACACGTATCCTCCTGTGTACTATAAATCACCTTACATCATTTATCATGCTTCACACAATGTAAATGCTATGTATGAAGAAGTGATCAAAAATATAGTGAGTGGTTAATTATTAAGTACATTTTATTACAGTAAAAGACACATTGCCAGGAATGCCCCTCAAGAGTCCTTCTTGCTTCAAATGCCTGCATCCCACCCTTCTTGACACTTTCTGAGGCAGTGCTGGGAGTCTTCTTTTGTATCATTAGTTGTATTGTGATGATTGCTCCAATGCCCTCGATCAGTTGGAAATGACCTTTTGTGGTCATTTGGATTTTGGGAAAGAGCCCCAAGCTATCTGGTGGCCAATCCATTGAGTATGGCCGGAGAGGAGGCACTGTGCTGCTTGCATGAATCTGCCTTCCTGTTGGAGGGCTCCTGACAGCGGCCTTCACTGTGATTGTGATCATCCTCATGAAGACAGGAGAGGCTCCAGAACTGCTTTAGAAAGCGGCAGGAAGCGTGGAGTAAGTGTGTTCAAAGTGACAATGTCTTTCTCTGTAATAAGGCTTCTTATTTAAATATTCACCATATATGTTACTTTTTAATCATAGCTGATAAATAGCAATGCTACTGCATCATTTAGGAAATAATGCAAGGAAAATATTCTGCACAGGCTCCACACAGATGCATTTTCTTAAAAATATATTTTTGATGCATGGTTGTTGAATGTGTGAATCCAGAGCCATGGGTGAAGAGGGCACCTGTGTGTCCTTATTGTGAGTGCAACGCCAGGAGGGTGCAGTGTGAGGCGTGCACCCTGGAGGCTGTGTGCCAACAGATGCCAGACAGAACAAAGACGGTGAATTTGTTCATTAGAGTTGTAGCTGCTGGAAGACTCACATAGTGCTGATATTAGGGAATTTATGTAGTAATCTATTACTGTAAACTACAGACTTTGTTCTTCCTCTTTCATAGTAAAGAACTGGCTTTGAAATCTGTCACTAGTTTGTTAAGTAGCTATGTATTAAAGCTCAGAGAGAAAATCTTCCCATCTATCCCCCTCAATCCAAGTTGGAAGGAAATTTTAGGAATATTTGGAACAATTAAGCTTTCCTTCCCCATCATTAATGAATTATTTTTAGACAAAAAAGCAATTTATTGTAAGTTGTACAAAATTAAAATATGGAAATATATAATTTAGAAAGTGCAAGTCCTCAATGTTTTAATTTTCTTATTCATGTCTCTTACGACCCTAAATCCTTTCTCTGATATATTACTAACATTTTTCTCTCATTTACCTTCCTTGTATGCATTTTGTTCTTCATAGTAGAGAATCTCATTATGTTCTCATCTCTAGCTTTCAGATTTTGGAGTTTCATTTTGTTTTTTATATTCAGAGGTAGCATCTTGCCATGTAGTACAGGCTGACCTCGAACTCACTATGTAGTCCAGGCTGGCCTCAAATTTGCAGTGATCCTCCTGCCTCAGCCTCCTGAGTGCTGGGATCACAGGTCACACCTGGCCCCTGTGTTTTGTTTTGTTTTGCAGGTTCTGGGTATTTTTTTTTTTCACATTTGACTTTTGGCCAACTTTCCCCTTCTCCCTTCACATCTCTCTGCCCCCTGTGTTTCCTGGTTCTCTGAGACAGGGTCTCACTGTGTAGCCCAGGCTGGCCTTGAGCTCATGGTCCTCCTACCTCTGCTTCCTGATTGTTGGGATTACCTGTGTGCTACCATGCCCGGGTCATGCTTTCCTGTTTCATTTTGTGACACTTCGCTCTGGCCTCAGCCCTTTTTTATTTTGAGACAAAGCCTGGCTAAATCTCTAAGTTGCCGAGACTGGAACTTGGGATTCTCCCGCTTCAGCCTCCCAGTTACAGGTGTGTGGCATCGCACCCAGCTTAGTTCTTAAACACCCATCACACTGAGGGGCTCCGGCCTCCCGTCAGCTGAGCTGCTCCATTATTAACTCATCCTCCTTTCCTACTTATTTTTACTCTGTCCCGGGCTTGCCCCATATTGCCTATATATACAAAAATGCCTCCGTCAGTGGGCCCGCTGATGCCCACTGATTTGCCTCTCTTCTCCTCACTCCTAACACGATATTTTAATAAACCTTGATATGTTGCACAGCAGGTCTCCTGTGGGTCTGCTTTTTTGATTAAAAACAAAGCAACAGCTCATTTGGGAAATGAACTTCTAAGTAAACGTCAGTATCAAATTATGAAATCTTTTTTTTTTTTTTTGTCTTTTTCATTTTTATTGGTACTGGGGATCGAACTCATGACCACCTGCTTGCAAGGCAGGTGCTTATGCCACTGAGCTAAATCCCCAGCCCCAAATTATGAAATCTTACTGGCTTCTCCTGAGGGATAAGAATCACCCTGACATTTCAGTGGAATCTCTTTAAATATTTGTATTAGTTTTGACAGAATTGCTCTTTTTACACCATGGAGCATTCTTGCACAAGAATATTAAATAATTTACCATGTATTCTGGACTTACATTTTACATAGGGATCTTTTCATATTGTGTTCAGATAGGTGATATATATTATTCCAGAAGCTTATTCTTATTGTTTTGCAGGTTTTCATTACGACCATAAATGAGCCAGGTAATGCAGCATCTGCTTGTGCTCCAAGTTACTTGAAAGGCTGAGGCAGGAGGATCTCCTTAGCTCAGGAGAGTCTAGCCAGGCAACGGAATATAAGATTTTATTTCTAAAGAAAATGTTTAACTGGCTGAGGATGTAGCTCAGTGGTAGAGCACTTGCCTAGCGTGTATGCATTTGTGAAGCCCTGGTCTCAATCCCTAGCACCATGAAAAGGGGAAAAGAGAAAAAAAAAGAGAAAGAACTTGTCGTGGGTGGGTCAGTTCTCGCTGTACCACTGCGTTTCCTGTTAAGTGATAATGAACTGATTGTCATTGATTTTTCTGTGCTTCACTGTATTCTCCTACTTTTGCAAATTCTACTTCGAGGTTCCTACTCAATTATCTCGGTGGACATCTGTGTTATATACAAATAAAAGTCATTTTTCCCCTTCTTTGGAATATTGTCATTTCATGTTGCTTTCTTGCTTTGTGTCTTGGTTCATAAAGATAATAACAGAAGAAACTTCTGAAAACAAGAGTTGATCGTCAGATTTCTGATTCTGATTAGGATATTTCTAATACTTCACATTAATTACTTAATTGTGTATTTTTGGAGACAGGGTCTCAGCATGTAGTTCAGGTTGGCCTTGAACTCACTTGTAGCCCTGCTTGGCCTCAAACTCATGGAGATCCTCCTGCCTCAGCCTCCTCAGTGCTGGGATAACAGGTGTACAAGGCCATGCCCCGCTCAAGAATTTTTATATCTATATTTTTGCAACACTTCCTAATCCTTCCTTGTGTTCTTCAAGGTGTGTGTAAAGTGAGTAGCAGAGTAATTTTCCGGAGGGAAACGCCAGCCTCAAGTCCTCGCTGGGGCCCCCTCCCGCAGGCGAGCAGCCTTACCTGTATCCCGATGGACAGACAGCGGTTCTTCTTGAAATCCTTCTTCCGGTCCTCGGGGGCGGCGGCCGCACTGGCGGCGGGGACGGCGCCGTTGCCCATGTGCTGGCTCGCGGGGCCGTGGATCTGGGCATTGGCGGCCTCGATGGCGGCGGTCAGGGCCTTCATACTGTCCAGGCTCTCGGTGGAGTTGCTGAGGCCGGACTGGCTGACCATGTCGCCGCGCTGGCCCTGCCCGTCCATGTAGGCGTCCTGCGCGGACTCCGTGCTGCTCTGGGCTGTGATAGAAATGAAAGGTTTCGTGGTGGTTCTGGGTGGCACGGGAGGCGGAGTCTTCTTATAGGTCGTAATGCAAGACGACACTGGAAGACACGAAAACAGAGACCTGTGACTCCGGCGCACGCGGGTCAGCCCCGGCCGCCTGGCGGGGGGCGCCTCGGGGAGTGACACCCACAGAATCCAGGGGAGGAAGGCCAGAAGGCGGCGACCCCTGAAATGCGTCTCAGGAGAGGCCCCAGAGAGGACAGGCACACCGCAGGAAGCCCCCAGGATGCAGCACAGGCTCGGAAGAAAGGGGGACCACGGATGAGCGCGCGCTCTGCCAAGCTGCTCACTGAGGTCACGTGGAGGACGCGCACACGGCAGGAAGTGGGAGAAAGGGCCCAGCGCCGGGAGACAGTCTCCCCCAGCCTGGCAAGCGAAGGAGGTTACAGCCTGCACCGACATCCGGCTGGGAAGGGGGCACACATGCCTGTAATCGTGGCATCTGGGAGGCTGAGGCAGAACGATCCCGGAGTTCAAGGCCAGTCTGGGCTACACAGAGAGGCTCCGGCTCAGAAAAAGTAAAAACCAACAAGAAAGAGCCATCAGGAAGATTCCGCCGTCCTTGCGGGACTGATGGAAACGGAGGCTGGGGAGGAGCGAGGGCCACCTGAAGTCACTCTGGCCGGGCTGGAAGTCAGGCCCAGAACTACACACCCGTCGCTGTACGCCCAAACTCCTGCACCGGAGCTCCCAGGAGCCACCCGGCCACCGGGTCCAACGTCTCCGTCTCTGTGCAGGATTAGTGGATGATGAACTTGAAGTGGTCAACACTGTGCACATCCTGTCATCCCAGCGCTCTGAGAGGCTGAGGCAGGAGGACCTCGTATTCAAGCCCAGCCCAGACAATTAACTCAGACTTTTGAAAAGCAAATGAATAAAAAAGGCACTGGGGCTGCAGCTCTGCGCAAAGGCTTTGAGTTCCACCTTCAGTACCAGGGGAGGAAAAAAAAAAAAAAAAAAAAAAAAAAAAAAAAAACTGTGGAGAGAAACTAGGCAGAACACACGCGGAAAAATCACTACCTTGTTTCAAAATATTTCCAGCTGTCTACATGGAGGCCACCCAGAGTGTGTGGCCGGAGGAGGAGGAGGCAGGGATGGCTCGGCCACCTCCGGGTGAGCCTGGCTGTGCAGGCAGGCAGGCAGGCGGGGACGGGGACCAGACCCCCCAAAGCGCCCTGGCAGTGACCACTGCGAGCAGGCGAGCCGTGTGCACGCAGGGCCAGGGCGATCCTCGCCGCCGCCGCCTCCCAGACGCCGCCTGACGCCACCTCCTCCCGGGCCCGGGCACGTCCCTCCGGGCCGAGATCCGCGCGGCGATAGCGCAGCTCCCCGAGCCTGGCCAGCATTGTTCTCCAAGGAGACAGCGGGAAGGGAAAGGTTCCTTTCAACAGGCGCAACCGTTTTTTAAGAGGCACCAAGTTGTTTCAACAAGTTGCTACAAAACTGCGGCTTCCGGAGGCGCCTGGCTGCTCCGCCGTGAGTGCACTGCGCAAACCTCCAGGGAGGGCGGATCGCCAAGTTAGTGTCCCTGCAGAGAGAAGCGCGCCCGCACGGCCCGGGGCTGCAAACGCCGCGGGCGCACCAGACCGCAGCCGCGGGGCAGCCTTGAAACCACTCGCGCGCCCCTGCTGGCTGCGACCGCAACGACACCGGGCTTAAACGCTGGACGCGGTTTCCTAAAGCAGAGCGGGCAGCCAGGACCAGAGCGTCCTGTGTCCTAATGTCTGCACCTCACGGCAGTGCGTCGCCTCCTGCAGAGGGGAACCTCTGAGCTGGAGCTGAGGAATTTTTAAAAGCAGCAGTTAGGACCCGGGCGTGGTGGTGCACAGCTGTAATCCCCGCACTCCGGGAAGCTGAAGCAGGAGGATGGCAAGTTCCAGGCCTGCCTGAACAACCTAGTGAAACCCTGGCCTAAAAAGGACTGGGGACGCAGCTCAGTGGGAAGGTGCTGAGTTCAGACCCAGGGGGCGAGTGGCGAGTTAAAAAGCACGAATTGTGATGAACTTGTATGTCACGGCCATTGGTGGCACTGATGACAGTGAGGATTATTAATATTTAGGCTTCCTGCAGCCCATGGCTGGCCTTGAGTTCACCATGTAGCCCAGGATGGCCTCCAGGTCCCGGAGATCCTCCTGTCTCAGCCTCCCAAGTGCTGGGTGAGTGCTACCAGCGAAGCACATTTTGCATTTTCACCTGGATGGGCCCTTTGGATGGGGAACCTGTTGGGGCCTGAAGCGTTTCTAATACGTGCTGCTGGCTTTCCGCAGCCTGCCTGCAAGGCCTGCCTCAGGCCCTGGAAGCTCTGGCCCCGCTGCCCGTCCCTGCTGCACACGGCCGGGAAGTGTATCTCACCTGGCTGCTCCTCTGCTTGCTTCCAGCCTGGAGTTCATATCAAAGTGACCTGCCCCAGGGAAGCTCCCTGGTTAACTAAATCAGACTGTCCCAGTCACGGGAGGGCTCCAAGCAGGGTCAGTCTATACCTCGCACCGTGGATGCTTTTCCCTGTCTTTCTGCAGCACTGGGACTTGAACTCAGGGCCTCCCTTCTGCTAGGCAAACGTTCTAGCACCCAGCCCCTGTGTGGGCTTCTACAGAACTCTGATGAGGAGTTAAGCATTAGAGACGAGGGTTACCGGATGTGAAACCCAAAATTTGGTCGCCTGAAATCAGTAATTCCAAAGTGGTACAGTGAGAGTGGACGGTTCACTGACAGAGCCACTGCGTGAATACTGAATCCAGATTAAAAACCAACTCAGGAACTAACGTGGTGGGGCACACCCGTCATCCCAGACTCGGGAGGCCGAGGTGGGAGGATTGCAAGTTCAAACCTAGCCTGGGAGACTCTGTGCCAAAAGCAAGCTTTAAAAAGGCTGGGGATGTGGCTCAGTGTGGAGCCCCAGGGTTCTACCCCAAGGACCACAAAACCGGACATAACCGTGGTCTCCTGGTAGCTCAGCCAGTGGCCTCCCTGGCATGGGGCACAGGTGTCACAGGTGTGGCTTCTGGGCTGGTACGGGGCCTTGCCCTCATGGCTCCCTCCCGGCCTGTCCCACAGGTGTCCCTGTGTCCCCAGCACATGAGTGACAGTGCCTTGGTGCACCTGCAGGGACTGAGTTCCCATGGTCCCATCACCTAATGAAGTGATTTCCTCCACTGAGTGACACACGTTGCTGTCTCTCGGGCCCTGAGGTACTTTCCCCAGCGTGTAACAGTGCGTTTCCAAACCGTCCCTGTGCCAGGCCCGCGGGCCTCCCTGGCCGAGGATGGAAGACAGCCACCAGGTCGGTGCTGCAGTCACTGTGGCTTCCTGTTTGGGCAGCTGCTCCCCGAGCCCGAGGGCCGGGGCAGGGCTGGGCAGACCCGGGCTTGTTGAAAGACCTCGGCAGGCGGCTGTGCCAGCAGCCGGGGGAGTCTGCTTTTCTCTTCAGATGTAACCGCTCAGCAGCTCAATCCTGTGCTCTCCCTTAGCTTTTTCCCTGACCAGGCTGAGGGACAGGAATTCATGAAGGATGTGACAATCGGGAGGTGAGAGTGGGTATAGTGGTGCACATCTGTGATTCCGGGATGATGGGAGGCTGAGACAGGAGGGCTGCAAATTAGAGCCTCGCCTGGGCAACTTAGCGCTTTAGTGAGACTCAGTCTCAAGAAAATAGATGAAAGGGCCCAGCTCGGCTCAGTGCCCAGGCCTGGGGGCCAGCACGGTGAGCAAAGGGCCAGGCAACGCTGTCTTGGTCCTGGGGGTCACCACACTGCCTCGCACTTGTGTGTCACATGCTGCTCTGTAAAGGTGAGAGCAGTGCAGGGAGGAGGCTGCCTGGAGAGCGGGGAGGGCTCGCAGGAGGGAGGAGCGGATGCGGAAAGAGCACACCGCACGGCCGCCCTAGGTGACCCTGGAGTCCCAGGGCAGCCAGGCTGTGTCCACAGCAGGTTCCACCAACTGCAAATCCAAAACACTCAGACCCAAGCTCGCAGTGTCCTGGGCGTAACCAGACACTTGTCCTCCCTCCTTGGGCAGCTCCACAGAGCAGCTGTTCCCGAGGCGTCTGCATCTGTCGGGGATAGAGTGGACAGAGAGGGCCAGGAGGACGTCGCAGTGGGTGTGGAGGCTGTGTGTGGTTCCACGCAGTTCCAGTGCGAGGGACTCGAGGACCCGCCTACTTCTGTGTCTGTGGGTTGGAGTCCTCACCCAGCCCCCCCGGGCACCAAGGGGCGACTGGGTTACCTCTTGTCCCCGGTGCCTTCCTGCTCTAAGGCTTGGACCGGTCATGTGCTGGCTAAGCGCACCAGGACTGGCCAATTCCTTTTGTTTCATTTGTTTCTTTAAGGCAGGATCTCGCTACGCACTCGGGGCTGGCCTTGGATTTGTATCGATCCTCCTGCCTCAGCCTCCCAAGGGTTGGGATTGCAGGCGTAAGCCACCACACCTCGAAAATTACTGTTACCTGCCCAATGGGGGCTAAGACAAAGCTGGAGTGGGACCCCCTGCCAGTCAAGGGCGATGCCCAGTCCCCACTCTGAGACTGCATAGGTAGCCAAGTGTCCTGGTTTCCCCCAGGCATGGGGCCTACGTGCTCATCTGCCGGTCTCAGAGGGGTGAGAGGCTGTGTACAAAGCCACTGCAGTGGTGCATGCCTGTAATCCTAGCCCTGGGGAGGCTGAGGCAGGAGGAGCGCTAACTTGAAATTTTGAGAAAAGACTTGGGATGTAGCTCAGTATGAAGTCTCTGGCTCAGTCCCCAGTACCACAAAAATAAGATTAATTAAAGTGAAATAGAAATAAACCCAGGATCTGCATGTGTCCTGGGTCCAGCCAGCTGCATCAGGGCAGAGGCCAAGATGACCTAGCAGCCGCCCCTGCCGCCGTGACTCCTCCCACTCCAGTGGCAAACTGAAAGCTCCAGACCTGGGAAAACAGGATGTGTGGGGCTGGAAGAAATCGCCTGGCCTGGCGTTCCTTCCTGCGGGCTTGGCCCTGGTGAGGATAATTACCTGGGTTTGCAGGGCCCGGCTGCACAGGCGCTCTTCATTATCCAGCTGCCA